GTGAAGGAGATGTGCCGCGAGGCGACCAGCGTCAGTCCGAGCAAGAGCCGCATTCAAAATCTGGTGAAAGCCTTCAGCGGCGGCACCAGCGCACTAAACCTGGAGCAGTTCACCGAGGCGCTTCGCTCCGAGAATGTCTCCCCCAAGGCGGACGGCCTGCTGCGCTTTGAGAAGTCCTTCTTCGAGGCGAAGAGGACCTCTCGCCGGCATTCGTCGCGTTCCAGCGCTGGCGACAGCAGCAGCTCTGACCGCCAGTCGCTAGGAAAGGGGGGAAAGAAGGCCGCCGGAACAGGAAAAGGCTCTTCAACGAGTGCCAAGTCAAGCAAGAGCAGCCAGTCAAAAACGTCGGTTGAGGGCTGCTGCTTCGCCCACGGCTCCAAGCGCTACGAGTTTGGCCTGCACACCGTCACACTGGACAGCACCGGACGGTGCGTCGATCCGCGCATCATTGATGACCGTTAGTTTTTTTGCTTTTATTTTAGTTCTCTTTATTTTATTTTTCACCACTTTCTTTCAGACTGGGTCACCCGCTGGGGCTCCAAGGAGATGACCCGAAACCGCTTCAGCGTGGAGAACGTTTTCCGCCACAACTCCACCGCCAACATCTTCATCGACCTGGTGCGCGACTTCAAGGAGAAGCAGATGGACCAGCCCGACTGTCCGGGCATGCTCACCGCCGAGGAGGACCTCGACACGCTGTACTCCTACTTGGAGACGCTGGCCCGGCAGACGTGTGCTGTTTTACGAGGAGGCGCCAAACTGCTTCGCCTAGGCGGCTGCGAGCACAACTCCATCTTCGTGGTGGGCGACCTGCAGGGCGGCCTCCGCGACCTGCTGCACATCGAGTCGATGCTCTTCCGCTCCGCCCCCGTCACCGGCAACTCGGTGCTCTTTCTGGGCAACTACACCGGCCCCGCGTACTCCTACGGCTTTGAGGTGCTCCTCTATCTTTTCGCCCTAAAGGTGGCCATGCCCAACAACTTTCACTTGCTGCGCGGGAAGAATGAGATGCGCACCTTCAATGGCGTTCACCTAAAAGGGGAGCTGGTGAACAAATTCGGCGACGACATGGGCGAGAAGATACTGGACCTCTTTAACCTCGTTTTTGACTGCATGCCCGTCGCAGCCGTTCTTAATGAGTCAGTTCTGTGCACGCACTCGGGAATACCGAATCTGGTGGGAGGAGGAGGGAAGAGGCGGCCGCTGATTGCCGCCTTCCAGGCGGAGGTGGCCAACAAAACCGACTTTGCTGATCCACGCAAGGAGATGCCCATTGGCTATGAGGTAAGTTGGGGTATAGTTAGAACTTCTTTTTTAAGCCCCTTCTTTAAACTTTCTCTAGATGATGGTAAACATTCCCGTCCGCTACGCGCACAGCAACGAGGAGAAGACGGCGGCAAAGGCGAGGGGTTTTGAGGCCTCAGTCAACGGTCTGTACCACTACTACAGCTCCAAGGCCTTTGAGGACTTTATGGCCGCCAATGGGCTGCAGTTTCACCTGCGATCGCACAATCCGGTAGAGGAGGGCTACGCACTGTGTTTTAGCAATCGCAGTCTGACGGTGCACTCCTGTCGGCGCTTCAACGCTACCACCCTGCCCTACATTGCCGTCCTCCAGGTGGGCGGCTCCCAGACGGCCACTGCCTACACCAAAATTCGGCCCATTCGCTTTTCCACCGTGGAGATGACCACCTCGAAGAAAAAGAGCACTGCCTCAAAGAACCACTAAAAAAGAAAGTGCCTTTTGCCTCAACACACACATTTTTGCTGTATTTTTTGTGCAACATTTGCACCACACACACACCTCATTGCTTTCTGTCACTTTTAAAAGCAGCACACCTTCCAGTACAGTGTATTGTCTATTTATAAAAATTCCTATTTATTAAACACCGACCGGTGCCCCTAAATAGCACTTGAGCAAGTGTGTGTGTAATGGTGGCCTTTCGCTGGCTATCACGAAATCTATTAGCACAGAGTGAACCAATCGATGAAGTTGCCCAGACGCTGCTGATCAGGCCGCTGGCAGAGCATGGCACGAAGCGGCACTTTATTTTTGTTTGTCACATTTGCACATCGTTTGCACAAAGTCAGTCAGTCTGTTTGAGAAAATTTGTGAAAAATTGCCAGTAAAAGTGGCGATTCTGTGCAAAACTGCTGTAAAACTCGTGACCACTTTCTCCAATGATCGGCTCTTCGCTGACTGAACACCAATTTGCATCCACTGACTGAGCAGAGCCGTTTTTCGCCGGCCATAAAACACTTTTTTTTGGTTGTAAAATAAAGGGTTTGATGGTTTCACTTGTTACATTGACCCATTTTTGTGCTCATGCTCTACACCAGCCATTGTGTTTTTAAAGAATTGGCTAATTCGATGGCTGTTTGTTCCTGTAGACACTGACTCAGTAAACAACAACTCACAAGCAAACTTCGCCAGAAGTGCGTTCTCAAAATGACCTTCTACCGGTAAAATTGCTTTCTGCACAAAGTGCTTTCCCTCGTCTCTCCTCTTCAATTAGTGCTTTCTAATAAAGTCTAGCACTGGCAAAACAGCAAACTCTTCATTAGCATACTTAATCTCGATATAAAAAATTGATTACCAAGCGTATCCGTGTGCATTTTCGTTGAGAAGACCGCAGACCTTACAGCAGCAGCCGAGCAGATTGATTCGCAGTGACTGCAGCACCTGATACCTGATACCTGTGCACACTACGGGCAACACATGTGGCAGCGGCAGTTTTATTTAAAGGCTACTGTTAGTAGTATTTTTCTTTTTCAGGGATATACCAATGCCAGTTGCAGCTGATCTGTTTTGGTGCTAATGTATATTTGCTTTGGCTGTCACAGTGCACAGCAGTAATCGGATTGCGAGTAAAGTGATCAGTACTGAAGGGAGAGTGGCTGCGGCTGCAACAATTGTTGTTCTCTTCTTTTCATTTCTGTTTCGTAAAACTGTTTATATAGTTTGTTTTGGTGCTATACCTTTCTGTTGATTGACAGAGGTGTGTGTGCGACTGTGTGTGACCCAAAGAAAGTGCTCACAAAGGACTATTGAAGGGCTTTAAATTGAGGCTAAACACCCTGCAGGTGTCTAAATGATCTTCAGCAAACATTTTTTATGCTGTCGCTAATAATAGATGCAATTGTGTTGTGTTTGGTTGATAAACCAACTGGCCAACTCTGAACTTTAAACAGTGTCGCCAACAGCTGTTGCGTTCACAAGACAGTGCACAGTCATACGAATGCGGATTAGTTTGGCGGATTAGCAGATTCAGATTTGATTCACCCTAATGAGCTCATTGACCAAAATCCAGGCAGTCGTGCTTAATAGGAGATAATGAGCACTACTTTGAGTGCTGTGATAATTTAGGGTGACATTTAGTGTGGCCGGTGAAAAAACAGCAGCAGCCGCAATAGCAATGAAAAGTAATAGAAATGCGAAGCAATGCTGAAAGATAGCATAACACGATTAGGCGACATTGACGTCAGTGAAAAGCGGTCAGTGAGTGGTCGGCGCTATCACTTGGGTCACTTCGGTGCATCGAAGCTGTCTGACAAGTTGGCACTTCCCGATTGATGGTTGCACTAAAGAATTGGAATGCTAGCATATCGTACGTAAGCTTAAAAACTCAAAGTAAACACCATTCTGATTGATAACCTCATAATTTTTGTGTGGTATTTTAAAAGGCGTTCAACTCACTCAAACAACGGTATTTCAGAACTTAGGCAGTCATTTACTAATGGTTCAGTATTATTACAAAAGATTGGAACTGCAATTAAACTTTGATATTTTAATTTAAAAATTGTTGACATTGACAGTTTTACATGTAGCTGGCAAGCCGATGGATTACCCTAAACCTTATCAGTCTAAGTATTTAAACTATTGGAAATGATAATCGCTAGTCTACTAATTAAAATCAAATAATTGGTTTTTAAGTTTAAAAAGCAAGGCAAAGTTATGATGTGAGAATTTCTTCATGGGTGGGTGCAAAAGCCATGTGATGTCACGTTGCAGGAAGGTGATGAGTCGAGTATAAATCTGTTTCTCTATCTTTTTCCTAGTGCAAACTGATTTACTTTGCTCGCTGAGCATCTAACAATGATGTGCATGCATTTGCTAATGCTAAAACAATGCAGTCTAACACATCACCTCTTCAATCACNCGTTGCAGGAAGGTGATGAGTCGAGTATAAATCTGTTTCTCTATCTTTTTCCTAGTGCAAACTGATTTACTTTGCTCGCTGAGCATCTAACAATGATGTGCATGCATTTGCTTATGCTAAAACAATGCAGTCTAATCAGTCTAACACATCACCTCTTCAATCACTGTGTGTCTCTCAATCCCATTAACAATACCGTCTGAAGTGGTGGTGGTAGTGCAATTTTGCAATCAAGGATTTCCCCTACCTGTCTTTTTACTCCCCTTTTCTCTCTTTTGTCCTGGTCTCCTACTACACTTTGATTACCATGTCGCCATTGCTCTCTTTGCTCTCCCTCTCTCACCAGTTCTCACAATGGGGAAAACACCAGAATGCATAACAGTAATGAAATGGGTGATGACATTGAATGGCATCGTCAGCAGACCGGAACAGAGGCAGCAGTGTTCAAAGAGAAGAGAAGAAAGACCACCAGTGAATTGAATCGATTATAAAAACTGGGCTTCACTAGAGGAGTACATACATCATTGGCAAATGGCCAAACAGTAGACTAAATGATGTGCTGCCGACTGTGTGGCTGAAAAAGAAGAAAAAGAAGAAGATAAGCTTCATTCACTCAAAACGAAAGTGATTTATCGTGTGCGCGTCATTACCCGGTGCACTTGCCTTAATGCACTCGATTAGCAGTAGTTGTTGTTGTTGTACTACTACATACCACAGACAATACTGTTCCAGGAACAGCGTGTGAGCAGTTCGATTAGGGTGAGAGCAATGATCAGAGTGAAAGAGCAGTATTCAGTGCAAAGAAATAGAAAGAACAAGAGGGCAACAAGTGGCCAGACAGAGCAGACGGAGTAAGAGCATCTTATCGGGAGGCAGGCAGCCCCACCACCACTACAGACTTGAGAGGAGTAGTAGGGCAGTAGGAGTGCCTGAATGGCTGACTGAGAAGAGAGCTGCTGCTGCAAACTACAGCAGTTGCTGCAACGGTAACAGCTGCTGCGGGAGTCAAAAGAGAGATAGCGAGAGAGAAAAAA